TTCTCATTTCTGAAGGCTAGAAGTCTGAAATCAAGGAAAATATATTGTGGTAAAATATATAACATAAAATTTACCATTTTAACCATTAAATATATTCACATTGTTTTGCAACCATCATCATCATCCATCTCCAGGATTTTCGTCATCTTCCCAAACTGAAATTTCACATTTATTAAGTAATAACTCCCTGTTACTCACCTACTTCCAGCCCCTGGCAACCACCATTTAACTATCTGTCTATAAATTTGACTATTCTAACTACCTCATGTAAGTGGAATTAATCAATATTTGACCTTTTGTGACTGACTTGTTTGACTCAGCATAATGTCTTTACGATTCATGCAATCACCATTTTGTTTTATTTTTCTTTTACATTTATTTTGTATACCTATGAAAGTAAGGTTTGAAAGTGATGGTATTATTAGGCTAATAAGAAAAAGCAGCATTCTCATACCCCATCCCCTCTCATTTCCTTTTCCACTCCCTAGAGAAACCATTTTAAAATCTTTTAGCTATTTCTTCTAGTGTTTACCTCTGAATTTCTAAATAATTTGATGTAATGCTGTTTCTCAGTTTTCAGTATTAACAATTAGTTTCCTACTATGGAAGCTGAGGATTTCATTGTTATATACATCTTTCTCCCAATATATATACTTTTATGTCCCAACTTCCTAATTTAATTTTTTTAACCTGTTCTGGTTAAATTAATATTTATTAAATTTAGGTAAATGTTAAACACAGAGGTGGCTGACACTGTTGGTTTCCAGCCCAATAGCCACTTCCTCGTTTTTTGAAGTGACAATGTCCCAAGCCTCAGGATATACACCATCACTACTCTATGGCTTCCATGTTGTCCATTCTGGTGGGCATCTGACCCAGTTCTGGCCAAATGAGACGTAGGGAGAAGGCAGCTAAGGGTTTTCTGAGAAAGAGTTTCCTCTTCGATGGAGAAAGTCCTCTGAGGGAAGCCCTGTTTGACTCCACATTCTTTCTTCCTGCCTGGGACACTGTTGTATGAGGGTTTAAGTCCATCTCAGCCTTCTTGGAGGGTTTTTTCACCTTTTTATTCGAGCTATGCAATTGAGCAAGTTTCTTAATGTTTCTGTTTCAAGCTGTCTGTTTGCTTGAGTAGATGCACTTAATTTATTCTAATTCTGGAAGCAGCCTTTGTTAAACAATTTTATGACGGGGCCCTGTGAAAGTAATTACTACCCTGTCAGTTAACCATATTGCAGCGGACTTTATCTAGGTGGTTTTATTTCAAGTTACACAATTTTTTAGGTTTATAAAGCTTAATGCATGAATTATCATTTAAACTGAGCTACTTGGTCTTGAAAGAGGCCTTTAAGGCTAGAATGATCTTGTGTCTGTACTATCTTGGCAAGCATAATTTTGGGTCTCATTCTTTGGCCTTCTTGTTCCTTGACATTTGAAAATCACTAATTTTTAGATCAAAATTTAGAAGCCCCTCCCTCCCCCATTCTCTATCAAAGGGACTTGATTTTACTCTTATGTTTAGTTGTTATGTCAGTATCAAGAAAATGCTGAGTCAAAGTATTAGATTTATCCTAATATCTGGTCACCAACGGATGAAGAAAATTTATAAATACCGAATGGTAACTCTAGATCTAAAAGTTCCTATTTGTTTGAAATCCAAACATGAAGACTAAAGTAATACGAGCTCATTTTAAAAACAAAGTAGAAAAATTGGACAGAATAGAAGCCCATAAAATACAAAGTAATTTCAGTAGTAAACACACTATGCAATATACAGATGATGTATTATTGAATTGTACACTCGAAACCTATAAAATTTTATTAACTCCGATGTTATCCCAATAAATTTAAATTTTAAAAATGCAGAATAAAATGCCAAGAGACAATTGCTTTTAATAGTTTTTGTTTATAGTGCTTTTATTGGTTACCACTGTTTCTGTAATATATGTGTAGTACTATTTCTTAACATTAGATAATACTATCGACTTCCTATTATGAAAGATGAGAAATTTAGGACAGTTTCATTACTTTCTCTCATTTTTCCTCCCCACTCAATTTACCAGTTTCCATAAATTGTGTTGTCGTTTTTGGTTCTTCTGAGTAGTCACCTTTAAAACTTTAAATAATATAGTTAAACTTCTGTGTCTTAATCTGTTAATTTGTCGACTTTAGCTCTCCACTATGTAAGATTATACTGTCTACCTCTCCTGCCTCTGCTTCCCTGAAAAGGGGTCAGCCTTTCCATTATTTTTACAATGTCAGGGTCTATAACATTTTATATACTTTTCCTTAACTATAATTTTTCACTTTTATTATGATTTGATTGTAAACATTGAAAACCCAGAAAGTAGCATCTATGGTGATGTGATTTTTTAAATAACTTTTCAATATAAAACCAAGGGGTATGATTATTTTCATAGAAAGGGGAATGGAAAACTCACTGCAAGGAAAAAGTTTCCATTGTCAAGGTCAAATAGATTTTTTTTTCCCCAGCATCCCATCAATTGACCAAAATCATGCCCCGTTTTAATATTGTATTATATGCAAGCCGTGGTGTTCTTTGTATTGTTTTTTTCTTTCTTTCTTCAGGAATTTAAGGTTAACTTGTTTTTAGTTATGGATGTGCTGGTTGACATTAAGTTGGGCTGCCAAATGTAAGGCAGTTTGGATGAAATGTGAATTACTAAGTTCTTCAGAAAGTATAGGTCTGTGCATGCATGTGTATGAGACCTTGAGTAATTTAGGTTTTTTAATTGGTTGTCTTGGAATTCACAGTAAACACAATATCCAACAGGGAAAATAAAGCGTTTTTTTCCTGGCATTTTACTCATAGTTGAATCTTAATGTTTTTCTTTGAATAGTTTTGGTTTTTTGAATGTCATATGCTTCTGAATTTTACCATGGAATTCTCAGTCACTAACAGACTGATTCTCCCTTTTTTTGCTATGTCTGATTATAGTAAATTGTTTTTAGCTTGCAGTAATCTAAAATTCAAACACTTAAGATACCATACTTTTTGTATTCGTGTTTTCCCTGACTATGTTTCAGAACATTAAGAGCATCAGTTAAGATCCTAGTTCTTCAAGGTGTCTTCTCTTCTGTATTCACTTTTTTGCGTTCAAAACCAAACTCTCAGAACTAATAAGTGAATTTAGCAAGGTTGCAGGATACAGAATTGGTACACAAAAACTAATTATATTTCTAAAACCTTACAATGAACAATTCAAAAATGAAATCAAGAAAACAATTTCATTTATAATAGCATAAAAATAAAAAAATACAAAGGAATAAATTTAACCAAAAAAGCATAAAAATTATCTTGTAGAAACTGTAAAACATTGTTGAAAGAAACTAAAGAAGACCTAAATAAATAGACATTCCATGTTAATAGATTAGGAGACTTAATATTGTTAGGACGGCAAAACTCCCCAAGTTTTTCTACACCTTGAGTACAGTCCACATCAAAATATCAGCTGGCTTCTTTGCAGAAGTTGATAAGCTAACCTTAAAATTTATATGGAACCTTGGAAACCTAAAATAGCCCAAACAACCTTGAAAAAATTGGAAAACTCACACTTCCTTACTTCAGAAGTCTTTGCAAATCAAGTGGTACTGCCATAAGGATAGACATACAGATCAATGGAAATCCAAAAATAAGCCCTCACAATTATGACCAATTGATGCTTTTTGGGGAAGACTCCAGAGTTTCCATTCCTCTTGTAGTAAATGCCTTGCGTTTTTCCACTTGCTTCCTCACATTTTAAATAGATTCGTTAGTTGTTGTCTTCTTCTGTTCCCCGAGATATGGTTATCACATGTTGTTTGAGGAAATCCACCTGAACCAGACTCTCTTTGTTATAATATTACAGTATTCTTTCCTTTCACTTGGGAATCTAAAAGCATTGACCAACAGGTAGTATTTGAGCAAGTTTCTTCAAACTGAGTACCTTGTACACAAATTTATTTTCATATGATATTGCCTTTAACTTGGATGCCTAAACCCTTAAAGCAGGTTCTTCTTCCCTGGATTTAATCCTAGTATGAGCAAGATGCCTTTACATGACTACTTCCCTTTGTTACTTGGGCAAGAACAGCAAGTTTGCTGGGCTGTCACTCCCCTTTCCACCTCCCCCACTCAGCAGACATCACTACATGGTCACTGCTTACTTTCTTCCTGAGCCTGCTGTTGTCTTAGACTCAGTAGCAGAGCTCCAGGCATCCACTACATTAGGCCAGCATCAGGCATCTCTGAATGTCACTTACTTTTATGTCTTGTTTGTAGCCCTTAGTACCTTGGGAAAACCATGGCAGAAGAAATGGATAGCAGCAGGTTTTCTTAACTGTTTATCAGATAAAGTGCACTACTCAGAACTATCGTAAAATACTGTGGTGGCACTTACTGATAAGCCGGTTGTTCTGTAAAATAGAGAAGGGCTGCCAGTTTCAGCTTCTGCCACAGTTCTGTCCAGAAAGAATGTCGGTCTCTGTGTCTCTTTGGAAAGTGTTTAACCAAAATGTGGTTATATATCTATTGCCTATTTTTTCACATACTTGTTTAATTTCTTTTAAAACTTTTTTGAAGATCTACTTAGTGATTTAGGACCTGGGTCAGATAGAAATAAGCCATGGCCCTGGCATAGGGTACCAATAGTCTTTAGAGAGAAACAAATAGATAAACAAGAGTCCTGTCATAGATAATGTGTGTTGAGTAAGATGAAGAGGGAAGAATGTTTAAAAAAAAAAAAAGTCTTCATAGTGGAAGTGATATTGGAGCTGAGGCTTGAGGGATGAGCAGGAATTTCTCCAGCAGAAAAAGAGGAAAAGGCATCCCAGATGGCAGAGGAGCCTTGTCCCAGGTAGGGAGATTAGAGTTTGCCCTTTCTGCTTGAATTATAAAATCCTCAAGGGTTAGGATTAGATGAGATTAAAATAAATTCTTGGGTAGTATTATATGTTGATAGCTCCTTAATTTTTTTCAAACTCTTTCCAACCATGTTTTCCAGGAACCCGAATCATTTATGATCGAAAGTTTCTGTTGGATCGTCGCAATTCTCCCATGGCTCAGACCCCGCCCTGCCATCTGCCCAATATCCCAGGAGTCACCAGCCCTGGCACCTTAATTGAAGACTCCAAAGTAGAAGTAAACAATTTGAACAACTTGAACAATCATGACAGGAAGCATGCAGTTGGTAAGAGAATACTAGCTTTGGGGACCAAGAGGGTGGCCCTGGGAATTTGAATGTCAGTTTGCTGTAGGTTGAAAGATGTTGATGCTTCAGTTATGATTTTCAGTTAGTTATATGTTTCTGCGGTTCCCACTTCTCCCACCCACCTCACCAAGGTTTATTGAAGCGTTCCGGAAATCCTGAATCATAATCTAATATAGTGGGTGCAGGAGGAGGCGGGAGAGGGGATCCCAAATCAGGGAATGATAAATCCCAAAGATGACTCCTTGAACCTGGGCTTTACGGACTAGGGAAAATACCCATTCACACAAAATAAAACAATTTAATAGCCCTCATTTCTGTCCTTTTGATTGTGCGACAAAAAGCAATATGATTTTTTCTCGCATTTTCTAGGACTGCCTGTAATATTTCAGTAAACTTCCCATACACACACACACATACACACTTTTAGTAATGAATCTTCTTTCTCTGGAAGCAGAAGAGTGGGGTGGAAATGGTCAGCCCCTGAAGTACGCCTTGGGTTGCGCTGCGTGACCCCTGTATATGAGCCAGCATTCTGCCTCTCCAAATACCAAATGAGTTTTTAATGGACAAAGTGTTGATTCAGAGCAGGGTCAAAGTTCAAAGCCTCCAGAAGAGTGTGCTGACATGACGGATGGCAAGAAGCACCCCAAGAGCTCTTGTTTGGTCAACCTGTGGACAAAGGAACATAGAAAAGTTTTCACTTATATCCTTTTCCCAAATGTTCCTCCCTATGGGTGATTTGACTGCCATTCCTCCCCCGCCCCACCTCCAGATTAAAAAGACCAGCCAAAGCAGAGCAGAATAATTATTTTAAGGCAGCAGAAGATAGAACAGTTTAAATTCCTTTTTGACCCTTGTGCAGAGGGAATCACAAAGCTGTTTTCCTTTTCCATTTTGTGTTAAACTTTTCATCTTCTCCATTCTAACTAGGGGATGATGCTCAGTTTGAGATGGACATCTGACTGTCCTGCAAGGATCAGAAGAAAAGCAGCAACACTGATACCTGTGTGAACCTGATTTGGCCAATAGGATCAACAATGAAAACGCAGAAGAGGCAGTGTCAGCAGTTCCCATTGCAGTCTCCCACCTCCTCCTCTTCCTCTGGGTGCCAAATGATGTGAAGATGAGCTACATCTGACCATTTCCTCTCCTTGTTTCCTGTTCCCCTTCCCAGTTAGTCAGATTAGATTGAAGGCCCATGGCATATTTCTGTAGAATTAAGCAGCCCACAAAGGAAAACAGTTGACTTCTGGCTTCTCTAGACATTTTGCTATTGGGAAACACCTACCCTCCAAAAAAAAAAAATTTTTTTTTTTTTTATCCTAAATCAAATAGCCTACCAACAACTGCCTGGCTGGGAAGTCTGGGGGAGTGTACAGAGGTTTGATGAACCAGCTCAGCATTGTTCATGTTCTTCCTCTGTGTCTCCTTCCTGTCTCTCACCCATGGCTCAGTGCTCCAAGAATCTGAATTTGGGGTCTTCAGAACCAGCAGAGGAAAATAAACGAGCGCTGCTTTCCTTTTTACCCCGAGTTGTATGTCCTTGGAGACAGCACAGTTTGTACAACTCTGGTAGCACTACCCTGTGGCAGTTTTGAGGTCCACTTCCCCTCCATCCTTTGGGAGTAACGTCTTCTGTCTTTGGTTTTATAGTTCATGTACCCATTCCTTTACTTAGCACTTAATGTGCAAAAATTTTTAAACTCTCTACATGAAAGATAGTCATCAGTAACCAGCTGTTGTTTCCTCCTCTTTTTCCATTCCTCCCTGCTTGCATCGTGTTGGTTTCAGTCCTCTTGTACTCTGAGCATTCAGGTGATTTCACTGCTCCCAGAGCAGGCCCATACCAGGTGACAAAGAGGCACTTTGATTGAGGCCTGGTTATTGTTTTTTGATTCAACGAGCATTGTGGTATTTGTTATCTCAGATTGCAGTTTTTTTATATTTTGAGTTTAAAGTTGACTTTCAGAATACTCTTGGTAAAGAACTAAACTTTTTTCCTTTGCGGACCTGCTTTATTTGGCTGCTGAGGTAAGATAAGCATGGGCTTTAAAATGTGTTCCTCCCCATTGTACTCTGAATTTTCCCTTTCTTTCCCTCCTTCCCTTCCTCTCTGTCTTTCCTTTTTCTCTGCCAGGCCATTTTTTCAAATACACATCAAAGATACCTCGAGTGTTGGTATCTGATAATATCTGTCACTCTAATCTGAAGAGTGACCTTTTATTTTTAAGATGACTACAGACCTATTTTTAGATATGTTTTCAATACAATTTGAACAGCAACTTTTTAATCACACATCTTCCAGTGTTAGGAAGGTGAGAAATGTCCATAGGCGAGTCTGCTGTTCCACGTCACCATCCTTTGTCTCCTGCGGCCCCCTGTGAGCTCTTTCCTTCTCCCTCTAGTTTGGGGTGTGCATGTTTGGCGTTTGTAGTGGGTGGTTTGTAAAACAGGACCATTCTGCCTTGCTGTGGGCTGTTCATGAAAGCTGCCTTCTTTTCCCTTACCCTTTTTCTGTCATTCCCCTTCCTCCCCAGCCACTCTCCTGACTATTAACTGGCACCGTAATCCCAGAAGAGTGAGTTCCCGCATAGAAAGAATAATGCCTCCGTCCCCTCTTAGAAAGACAAGTAAAGTAGCCACTGGTGTCCTAGGAATTTCTGGTTGGATTTGGTATACTGAACCCTCTTATGGAGAGATCACATCCCAGGGTGAGAGTAATAGGCCAATTGGCTAAAAAAGAAAACTGTTTGTTTTTATTTAGAACTATGTAAAGACCCTGTTTGTGAATACATTTTAGACAGAATAGAGAAAGGATGTCTGAGGAAATTTGTTCTGTCTTCTGCTACAAAATGTGAATAGTTCAAAGAGTGAAACCTTTTGTGATGGTTCATGTCTCTCAGGAATAAGCTGGACCTCCAAAGTTTTGGAGATGCTTTCAGTCTCAAAAATTGATGATCAGAAAAGTATGTTTTATTTGTTCAATGTATCCATGTTCTAATTTTAATTAAACTCCAAATTTTGCTTTATATTCTCTTGGAAAAACTCAAGTTGCACTGTAATTTGCATGAGAAGCTTGCTCAGGACCTTTTTGTCCCTTGGGAGCTTGATTCTTTGGGAATGAAGCGTTTCGTTCTTCAGACCCTGGCCTTGGCATTCTGTGGAATCTGACTCTTAACTGCAGCTAGTTGGTCTGTTAGTGAGCAGAAGAGTGTCCCCTTTTTTTATCTTTATCATTACACATGAAAACTCAGCTTCCTCACCAAACTGGAGAATAGATTTAAAACATGCCAGCTCAAGTGGTATCAAGATGCCGTTTTTCCTTTATTTTTTCCCCCCATCTTGGAGAATCTCTGCATGTGGCCCCTTAGTTAGAAGCCATGTTTCTAGTATTTTGGGGGAGTGCTGTATAATATCACAGTTGCCCAATCCCTTAGCCTTCTCTGCAAGGACCTCCTTACTACTTGGTGCAGTTCTTTCCTGGAGGCCACTGCTACGGGAGATACCTTGACCTTCATAAATCGGCATTTTAAAGATAATTTCACAAGGCAACAGATAAACTTCTAATAGACGACACCTTTGTGCCATGCATTAGAATCATTTTCAGGGCAAGCCAGAATCTAGTAGGTGATTGACTTGTGGATATTTGGAAGGAAACTCACAGGTGAAGATCTAAATGAATTATTTATCCTGGCTTTTTTTGGAGGCGGGAACACGTTTAGTGTACCATTTGAGGGAGACGGTTCTTAAAATCTTAGTGATCACTTGTACTTTTCTTTTTATGAGGAAACCATGTTTCTGTATTGGGAACAGTCCTTAATGGGAAATGACCTTCCTCCAAACTCCAGCAAAAGACATGCATTGTAATGGTTCTACCTTCTTTACAGTGTGGTTCATTGAGTTTGCCACTTCCTCATATTCTATTCAAATAGCTATCATGATCTCAAGGGCACAGCGTAGAGAAGCTGGCTTCTAGGGATTGGACTTCCAAGCCAAGATTTTTGTTTTTCCACCTGTATTATATATTTCTATGTAACAAACTATCCCCAAATTTAAAATCTTAAAAGAGCAAACATCATCTGTTAGTTTCTAGTACGGGGTCTCAGGAAGTTGCAGTCAATATGTCAGCAGGGTCTGCAGTCATCTGGGGCAGGAGAGTCTACTTCTAAGCTCTCTGTGGCTTTTGGCAAGATGCCTCAGTTTCTCCCCATGTGGGTCTCTGTAGGGCAGCATGTATGTCTGCACACAATGGCAGCTGGTTTTCCTCCTGAGTGAGTGATAGGAAGGGGAGGAGGAATTTGCAGTGACTTTTATGACAGTCTGAAAGCACACACTATCACTTCTTTCTTCTGTTCCTTAGAAGCAAATTGCTAAGCCCAGCCTACACTCAAGGGGAGAATTATATTCCCACCTACTGAAAGGAGCAGTATCAAAACTTGTGGATATATCTTAAAACCACCTCACCCCTAACAGGATGAAACCAAGCCAATAGTGGGGTGGGGGTGGGGGGGAGAGTAGCTTTAAACTAGATGTTATGCTAAGAGAGATGCTGCTTCTGAAAACAGTTCTCTAAGATGTGTGTCACCAAATTGGGATAGAAGACACTTTGTCTTTCTGAAAGCTACCTGCTGTTTTTGAGAGGGGTGACAAGAAATGGCAGTTCCCAGGAGAACATAATACCTATACATTTCCCTGACTACCAGCAGCCCAAGGATGCTGCTTTGCAAGTCCTAGGGTTGGTGTTTCCTAAGACTCAAAACCACTTACTCGTATTCCCTCCCACTCTGCCCAGCCAGGAATTTACAAAGGGAATTGGATCCTTCTAGCTGAGCCACTAAAGCTGACTTAATTGATGTCAGGGTTGTCCCGCAAAGGGAGCAAACATGAATTAGATGTTGGGTTACTGAGCTGAAGAAAAGTCAATAGTTCAGAATCAGGGTGAAATAGATGATAGCATCTAGAAGCCAGAGTTAATGCTTGGCACCTGGTCTCCAACCACACCAGCTGAAACAGATTTGGGTTGGGTCTCTCGCCTAGGAAGCTGTCAAAGTAGGGAATGTGTACAAATTAGAAATGTTTTTGCTTGATTGTTCCTTTATATCCACTGTGCTGGTTAACTGTATGCCCACCTAGTCTTGGGCTTCCTGATAGACATGAGTACTTAAGGAGAACCAGTTCTGTCTTCACCCTTGAGAGAAACTTAGATGAGGCTTGTCAGTTCAGTAGTCTCAGTGAAGGTCTGCTCTATGTTTGTGGCACCTATGCCCAACCAAGTTTTTAGAGATTTCAGACATCTCAAAGATGCAAATTCCTGTATGGATTTACACTCTGCCTCTTCCCAGCATTTTGCTATCTGTAGCCTTGCTTGCTTTAGAGTAGACCTAAATAAAAAGCATTGCTGCTGAGGCAGCTATAAGAAAAAGGTACTTCTTCCAGAAGTAAGGAACTCATCTTTAAAGCACCTTTGAATGAATTTTGCCTTTCCTTCTGATTTTTAGGAAGAGTCAGTATAGATGGTGTTTTATTTTTGTTTGGGTTACCAGCTCTGGAAGTCTCAGCCCTTACCTTCCCAGTTCAAATATTGTCATTAGAATGCAAGTGCGTGGGTTTCACCCCAGAGTCTGTCGTTCAACCAGTACATACTGAATGCCTGCTTTGAGTCAAGGCTACTGGCTTAAGGGGTTCATCATGTTGGCAGCAGTATCCTAGAAACAATCTTTTTCCATTCATCCCATCTTAGAACTTCAATGGTGTATCAAACATCTTGGCTGCTTGAGCCAGGGCCCTCAGTCCTTTGCATTCCCCTTCAGAGAGGAGGCCCAATGCCTTTTTTGGGGTCAGGACTTTACCTTTTTGGTATGTTTCTCAACCACATGTATATAGGTGGCTATTTATTAATCTGTGAAACCCAGGGTGTAGTATTTGTTTTAAAGAAGCATTCTTTCTTTTTGAGAGGGCAGTTTCTATCTGGACTTCAAAAGGGACTTAGTCACCATACATATGACCCTCCCACCCCCCATGTTCTTTATCTCTCAGCTTTTAATAAAAGTTGAAATCATATTTTGAGGCAATCGGGTCACAATTCTTTAGACTACTTATATCCCAGGGGCATTTCCTATTCTAGTAATGATTTTCCAGTTTGGCATTGGAGTTTCCTTGAGGCTAGCTCACAGAAATTTTTTACTGAAGACTAATGATAATTGATACATACTTGTTTTTTCAAACATTCCCGTCACCTTTCCCACCCTCTGGAATTCAAATTTCTTTCTCTGGGCTGGTCCTGGAAGTTGATACCTTCTGGCAAAGATTAGATTTAGGAGAAGTCCTTCGAGTCCCTGTTCAGATGGTCTGTGGTTTCTCTTTGCTTAACCTGCCTGCAGCTATGGCAACCATACTGTGTGGATGCCCAGTGGAAAATATTACTGAGATGAAACATACTTCTGGGGGTATTTAAACTCTCGCTCTGCCACCTTTCTATGAGTGGGAGGCTGGCAGAGAGATGCTGCAATGCTTGACAGTCATTTAGCCATGTTGAAATTTGCAAAGGGAGCTCTTGCTGGTGCTCAAAACCAGAATTCCTGGACACTTCAAACTTAGAGAATTCCATGAATCTAGCATAGAATATCCATTCTTGCCCCATGGTAATCCCTTCCTCTCCATTTTAAGCTTAAAAAAAAAAAGCAAAAAACCCCAGCCCAAGCCAAGGGCAATTTTTACTTGAAACCAGGAGAGTGGGTGAGGAACACTGTAGAGATAAGGGGCGAGTTGTGCAGGTGAGACATTCTGCTCCTGCTGTCTGTATCCAGATAACTACTGTGAGCCAGTGCCTTTCCTTTACCTGAAGATGGAGCCCATCTCTTTCCATGAGGTGAGGAGACCCTCTGCTACCCAGGAGTAAACCTTAAAGAAGGTGGCTTGCAGAGCCCAGCAGACATTCACGTATTCGGGTGTCCATTTTAAGCATCTTTAAAGTATTTTATATATTAAAAAATGTCCTTCCCTGTCTTAGTGCCACCGATGGCCCAGTTCCATCCATTCTGAATGGAAAAGCAGAGACTGCCAGTTCTTTCCTTGTTCTTCCCTTTGTCGCCTTTGATGTGGTTGTCCCGACCCCTCCCATCCATTTCACTGTCGTGGATGGATAACAGAGGGCACCATGCAGTCCTGAGGTTGGTCCTGTGTAATTCCATGGTCATTTTTTTTTTGTAACTGTCCTTCCAAACAAGCAGGTGTTTGGAAATTAGGGGAAAAAATAAATTCTCACCAATGGTTGCTGTTACAATTAAGTCAATAAAGATCTTGAATATTAACTTGGTGGTCTGTTTTTTTTAATTTCAGGTGAAATCCTGTTCATTTCACATTTGGAAAGTCTTGGCTGGCGAGGGAGATGGGCAAAGGCAGTTGACCATTTCATGGGTCACTTCACTCAGCACTTTGTCCATCTGACCCTGTATATGCAGGGAGGTGATGTGTCCCTTCCCCCAAGAGCTTAGAGGTGGATGTGTACATACTAGGGCTGGATGCACCCAAGAAGGCCCTCTCTAGGTACCAGCCTTGAGGAAACCCAAACAGCCTTTCCTGAAGAGAGCTGTTGCTGCCCCTTAGGAGCACTTGTTAGAAATCCAGTCTATCTCCTGTCTTAAACTAGGCTGTGCTGCATGAGCATCAGATTCTTTGTTATTAATCCAGTGAGGTTTATATATTAGTATTGAGAACAAGAATTCTATCCTTTCGTGTTTCTGATGCGGTGAATGTCCAGACTAAAACGGCTTGGGATGTGGTCCCATCAGGATAGCCTAGAGGCTCAGGAATAACAGGCTGGATTCTACCGATGGTGTGTGGTAGCCGCGTACCTCAACATCGGTTTCCTTCTCTAAAACAGGGTTAAGAAATCAGCCTTAGTGGATTGAGAGGCTCAGGTAAGATCATGGAAAAAACCTGGTGCCTGGTACACTGACTTCAATAAAAGACTCAAGCACAGCTCAGTTGGCATGACAACCAGAGGTTGGTCAGCTGAGTCTCCTTTTCCCTAGAGTGCAAGTTTGGGAGTGGAGCTGGCTTGCTGACTGCAGCTATCACCTGGTGGTGGAAACTTAAGGACTAAAGAATCTAAGGAAGAAGGGGCCAAATAATTTTGAAAGCACTTCTATACATTCTTCACTCTGCCCCAAAGGCAAGTAAGATATTAACTTCAAAGCAACTTAGAATAGAAGGCTAAGGGTTTTGCTGCTAGTAAAAGGGGAAGCTTTACAAGATGGAGCTAAACCCCTGACTATGGTGCTATGTGAGTCACAACCACTTAACAAATCTTGTGTGCTATGTTTCTGCTGCTCTTAACATTGTCTTTTTCTCCGCTACTTACCTACTGCCATGTCTGCCTACTTCTCCAGCCAAGTTTTTCCCCCAGACTTGGAAGTGCTATAGGAAGTAGACCTTTGCCTTCAGAGAAAGTTAAAATACCTCTGACCGTTCTACGAAAGCCCTCCTGCTGGCCCCCAGATTAGGGCAGGACTCAGTTCTCAGAGACAGTATTTCCTCTGACTTACAAAGCCTTCAACAGCACAGTCCAGAGCATGGAACTATGCGGCTACAGCCCCAAATACCTCTGTCCAGGCAGCAGAATGCCCCTACACTGAGCTTTCAGCGGGGGTCAGCAAAATATAGTTTCACTTGTGCCTGTGACTTCTGCTTGATAGGAGGCAATGTCTGTCTTGTCAGTGAGGTTCATTCTGAGTTAGTAGAGCTAACTGAACACACTCCCACAAGCTCTAGCCACAAATAGCTTGACCTTTCACTCTTCTGGCCCCTGCCATAGCAGAACTGTTAGGCATCTACTTAATAAAGATGCTCTGGAGCCCTGGACTGGGATTTTCTGTTTGATAGTGCAACTGGGATTCAAATGTCTAGTTCAAAAGGCTATGGCCTTGATCCAAAATGGAGCAAAGACCTCTAGATGCTACTAAGGATGGTACCCCTGCCACTTCTGTGTGGTCAGGCCACTAGGCCTCTCTGGGTGGGACAAAAGCTGACTTCATAAGGCCTCCCCAGCTCCACTGTTTTCTAAGTAGAGTCAGATGCAGAATTCTATTGTGATTCTGAATTGTTAGGGCAGGTCTGTTTACACTCCAGGAAATGAGCAACTGGATCAGCTTTGTTATGGAATCAGCATTGAGGTTTCTCAGGTCCAGACCTGGCTAGATCCTAGCCAGCCTCTTCACAATTATTACCTTGACTCAACCAAGGCTGCAGCTGAGTCATGTCTAAACTCAGCAAGGGTCCTCACATGCTTGGACTTATTTTCCTAAGGCTGGAGCACAAGTCAGAGGGCCTCTTGGGAAAGCAGGGGTAGATTTACTGTGGACTCACATTCCTAACAAAATGGCCCCTTTCCCCTGCCAAACAAAAAAATATAGCCCGTTTTGGTAACCCGCAAGGAGGTCAGCTGATCAGAAACGCAGAATCGTTGCCTTTGGGGTCTTTTCATCCAGAAGGCAAAGACTTGAGTGTTAGGTGGGAGAGCTTCCTAAGGAAAGCATGGGTTCCTTTTGCCATGCTGCTATGAAGAACCTAAAATTGTCAGTCTTAGGACCCTGAGCAACAAAAGAGCTGATAAAGGTTAGATAAAGGGGAGATGGCAGGGCCTGGGCCTAGCAGTCTTTACAGGAAAATGGGGATAAAGCCTAGAGAACAGTTCATGGCTTGAAGGTCAAGGCTCTTCTGAGCCTGCCAATGGACACTTACCAGAAATGCATTCGGATCCACCTACTTTCACGTGATAGGATGAGGCTGAGCAATGAATTACTCTCCTGAGGTCACACCACTTCTCAGTGGCTGAACTGTGACCAGAACCCAAGTCTCCTGTCACCTAAGGCAGGGCCTTCACTTCTACTGGGTAGGAAGCTCAGAGGCCTTAAAAACAGCACTCACTGAGAGAGAGGTGAACTGTCACCAACTTTAATAGACTCAGACTGTGTCTGCCAAAGCAGACTGACTCGTGGAGGGGTGGGGGTGGGGAGTGTCTGTGGGCTCCACCTTCTGTAGTCCGACATGGCCAGTTCTCTTGGACGAGTTCCTGCCTCTCCCTTCAAAGGCACCAGCTGGCCTAGAAGGACTACACAGTGGCTTTATTGTTTGTACAACTCATTAGCAGAGAGCCACTCCAGGGAGCCCTGGACAAGGCCAACAGCTTGCCCCTAGCCAGCAAGAAAGATATGGGGTCCCTCTAACCTAGCCCGAGACAAGGTGACCCAACTGATTTTTTAATTTAACAGTGATGCTTAATCTTTGGGGAGAGATGTCAAAGACCACTTCCGAGAATACGTAAAAGTTGTAGACAACCCTTATTCCACTTCAAAAATAAATGCACATATGTCCCAACTTTTACATACAATTTCCAGGTTAAAAAAAGTCAGGTAAAAAACTCTTGCACTCATGCTTTTTACTCGCCACTCTCTGTTCAGGAGAGAAAACCCAGCGAGGCCGCTTCACAGGCTTCCTTCTCCCTCTCCCGACAGCAGCCTCTGTGTTTAGCCCAACTCCACAGAGCCTTCATTTACAAGGTGGGCAGCCCTTCCTCCTCTGGTCTGTGGACAGAGCTGCTTTCCTCCTCTTTGTTTCTCCTCATTGGATTAGATGGTTATCACGTCTTCCAGGAGCTTCTCAACCTTCCAGGGTACAGGCAAATCCAGCACCCCTCCAGGATCTCCTCAAAGGCACCCACACTCTTCCACAATCATGTCTTTATGATGGTCTAGAAGGACTTTGCCATTGTCCACGTACAGCATGCTCAATGGCTTGGTCTTCACTGGGGCACAGCAGGTGGAAGGGACTCGGTGGGGTTGGTACCGTTTCAGCAGACTCTGAAAGGGAGGAGAGGTGGTCAATTTACATTCCAATGGTCGGGTCAAAGTAGTGTCATTTCTGGGTAAAAGGCGAAAAAATTACAGAGTTAAAATCAGTTTCTAGGTGCAAAAATAGAAGTTGTTTTCATAAAGGAATCGGCCAACACATCATCTCTAACAACTACACTTCTTTTTAACTTCTTTTGAACAGAGATTTTAAAAGCTGTATCTAGGTAGAGCAGTAGCTAACTTATATGTTCTATTGTTCCAATCTAGAGTGAATACCAGTTTAAAAAAATATTCCAGAAATATGAGGCAGATGAGAGTCATATGGAAATTCTTGTGGGACTTGCTTCGTTGCACAGTGAAGGGCAAACAGAGTCAATGGGAGAAAAGGTAACAAGCCCTTGGCATTCTAGAACTGGGCCCTTTCTCTGTGGTCCAGCGACATCTTTTCAGATCAGAGCATCAGATTTGGCAACTGGTTCCCTCTGATCATGCTGCAGGTGGGTTGGTAGAGTGAAGTGGGAAAGGCTCAGAGGGCCTTTGCCCAGGCATGTCCTCTAGGGTCCTCTAGGGTGCTCCCTTGCATGAGCTCAGAGTTCATGCTCCCCAGAGCCTCTGAACCTCGCTTGAGTTCATGCTCCCCAGAGCCTCTGAACCTTGGCATGGTTCATGCTCCCCAGAGCCTCTGAACCTCGCTTGAGGCTTGGCATAGAGGATGTACTACAGGTCCAAAGGATTCTCATTGTAGGCTTCTAGGAGTCTATAAAAACATGTTGGTCCCATATGACCTTTGAGAGCAGGGCAGGGCTACCTATAACATCATGACCATTGTATTAGCCTCTATTCTCTACTTTGTCCATCTCATTCTCCTTCCATTCCTCTCCTTCCACCACCTTAGGCTGATTTGTGGCACCGTGTAGTAGCCTCAGGCCTTATCTAACTCCTGCAGAATGATGTCCAATTCCTGTATTAGGCAGCAAAAGTACAGTGGCTGCAACAGTATTATATCAACCCTGGACCCATACATATGGCCCCTTTTCATCAGTGAATCACAGACTGCTAGTAGTGATAATATCACATAAAAATGCCTGTTTTCTGTTTTCTGAGGATGCTATCATTGGTCATCTCTATATCCTTAGGACGTAGCACATAACCTGGCACACTGTAGGTGTTTGAATAATTATGTATGAATGGACGCAGTAATTTAATAGCAAAGCTGGAGTCCTGTGCCCTTGATCTGGCAATATGGCCACTTCTCCCCCATAGAATACTGCCTGCCCTCCCCCCAAGCCTTTGCATCAAACCTGGATATATGCGTGGTTGGTTGGATGGAACTCTTCCCCCACAGGGTTAGGGCACTCTCCCTCACAGCGATAGGCATTGTACTGCTTGGGGTAGATGATCCAGGCACCCCATCCAATCACATTGAAGTCCACCTGGAACTTGACCTTCCGACACAGCTG